ATCTTTTCTCATGTTTATTTTACCTTCCTTGCATTTTAAAATTACTTAAATGCTATAAGCAGTAGTATTATACTCCTATGACTCATATCCTTTCTCTTTAAGGAAAAATTTCACCTTACTTGATCATTTATACTTCATTTAATATTCATTTCATCTCCTTCACGCATTCAGTCTCTTTCATTCCTTACGACCTACGCTTTCCATTTCAAAACCAAATCTCATTTTGCAAGCAGTGGTTTCCCCTAAAAAGAATTTGGGACAAGTGGAATCGATATGATTTCGTAGGACGGGGAAGTGGGACTGGCACATATCATTTTTCTTTTGGCCCCGGAATTCCAAAACTGGTCCATTAAAGTTAAAAGGGGAAATTGCAAAAGTTAAAGTACATATAACGTGTCCTCCGTGTTGTTCGATTATCATTGGTTTAAGTGCGATCAGGCATTAGCTACTCGAGCAATTTGTCATCTAATCTAGTATTATGTTAGTGCCTAGCCATCATGTCTGGTGGCCATAGTCTGTAAATCAGAAAAATATTATACTATTCTGTTTGGTTGTAGAGAAAATTGTCGAACTCGAATCTGTGAAGCAAAATTTGAAACCTTCTAGTACTGAATTTACCAAAGAAACGGAGTGATGGACGAATTATAATAACAAAATTCTTATAATTTACTACTAGAAATCATATAAATCCATCATCATCCATAATCCAAACATCAATCGTACTGTGCAATACAAATCACGGCTATTCTATAGTATACATATAACTCAGATACTCTCACGCACGGAAAGCCTCTAGATTTACTACTATATCCATATGGTAATAAAATGGAAAACAAACAGACCGCTCAACAAGATACCTATGAATCCACAATCAGCGAATGGCATACGACGGCCAGCAAGCAATCTCAGCTCAGATCCGGAACGAGGAGCCGAGAAGCAAAGCAACGACGACCGCAAAGACAGCCGAGACAAATGACGGCGAGAACGAGCCAGCACCAGCCGTCGGGGTCGGAGCCGGAGCATCGGCGGCCAGAGCCAAACCGAAGAGAGCAAAAAGAGCGAGGAACACCGCCATTAGCGTAGCATTGCAGCGAGCCATGGGCGTCGGGATTCTCAGGAGCAGTGAAAGAGGCGCAGAACGAGTGCGTACTTGGGAAAGTTTTGCTTTATGTCGAGTAGAGAGAGACGTGAAACGGTGAGGGGAATTTATAGAGAAAGAATTAGGGGAATTTCGGGCAGCTGCCCCAAATTTCCAGCCTGGCGATTGACATAGTGACAACCAATCGTTACGGGCCTAATAGTTTCGTAGCGTTGATTTCTCCAGGTCATTGTTTGACATGGGCAGGGCAACGACCTCACTTCACACGCTTTTATTCTTAGTATTATTATTATTGTTTGTCTAATTTATATTTAAAGGCATATGTTAAATT